CCCCTTTGCAATGCCGTCTCCGCTGGCCATACCGTACCGCTGTTAGTTGAGCGAGGGGGGCGAGCGTCTTTGTTTGGAGGTTGAGGTCGGTGAGATTTCCTTTATTTTATTTTATTTTATTATTTTACTTTTTTATTTTTTATTTTTTTGGCCCCCTCTATTTTGTTTTCTGGATGTCAGTGGATACCTTGACATGTGATTCATTTTAGTTTTTGTTACGATTGCATGTGTCATTTGGTCATTTGATACGGTGTCACGTGCTGACTCTAATCATGCCTCCATTATGTTCTTCCTACTATTACTCCACTATTCTTTGGCGAAGACATGATATCTCATCCGCTATGAATGGAAATAAATAAATAAAAATTGGGAAAAAATAACAAATTGGTATATTTTATTTATTCTTAGTGACAGTTTGGTATATATTTTTTTTCCGATGACATATTGGTATATATTTTTTCTCCGGCGACATATTGGTATATTATTTTTTTCTCCGCCGACAAATGAGTCTCAATTTTGGCCAGACCTAAATTTCTAGCAAAATTTTTCACGTGATGCGAATGTGACCGCCAGCGTGGCTCCCAGTGGCAAGCAATTACAACTAATCCCATCCAAAACCATCCCCTTCTCCATCACTCTCTCCATAAACACAATAGCTTCATCTATCTTCCCACATTTCCTCAAGCTCTACATTAATGAGCTACAAGTCACAACAGCTCTATCCTCATTCACGTAGTTGCATAAAGCTCTGACTAACACGAAGCAATCGAACCCATTAGGCACCGCTCCTTTCACTAAGAAACCCATCAAAATCTCGCACATTTCTAAAGCTCTCCCTTCTCTACAAAAGCCCATTGATCAAACTCTCTCAAGTCGCCACCGAAAACGATTCGAGCTATCGATGAGGATGTTAAAAGTGTACACATCGGCCTTGACCTGATTTTGGATCATGGTGGGGTATCATTGTAGAGCTTGTTGGTGTTAGTTGTGTTTGGCGAAGACGGAGATGAGGAGGTTGTAGAGCGAGGGGCGGGTCGAGAGTCGAGAGAGGATTTGAAGAAGTTGAAGGTCTGGGAGGCGTCAGAGAGGCGAGAGGAGCGAAGGAGGAAGGAAAGTGAGAGGTGGAGGAGGAGGAGGAAGGAGATTGAGGGGTTAAGGTTTGGGATTGGAGCAGATTTATGACGCTGGAAGCCACACTAGCAGCCACTTCCGCACCATGTGAGACGTCACGTGAGAAATTTCGTCGGAAATTTGGGTCCGGCCAAATTTGAGGCACATTTGTCGCCGGATAAAAAAATAATATACCAATATGTCGTCGGAAAAAAAAATCAAACTGTCACTAAGGGTAAATAAAATATATCAATTTGGTATTTTTGCCATAAAAATTGTATCTACCATACCATATGTAGTGAAATATCTGAACCTGTAACGTTAGCTTTTAAGGTATAAGGAACAAATTAATGGACCTCATGTATCATTCAATCAATATTTTTTTATAATATTCTTTATTTTTCTCATATTCATTTTGCATCTTTATATTTATCGCTTATTTGATCTATATCTATTTTTTGATTTTGATTGATATGCCTTACCGAGGCATATATGTTTTTTTAATCATCTAGCTTGTAATCGGACCCAAAGCCGTGAGAGTCATATTGAAACCTCCTGACTGTCCGGATCATCGCAGCGGTGCTACCGAGGTATATATGTGTTCATATTCATATTCTTATTAGTAAGTGGATATGGATATGACAAGCATCATAGTGAGCCGCATCTAATCCCATCCACATTCTTTCATTTTTATCCATCCTTGTCTATTCTAATAATTTGAAATTTATGTTCTTACTTTTCTTCGTAAAGAAGTATTTTGCTTCTTTGGTTAAGTGA